GTTAGCTTCAATCCCTGTTTCTCTCTCTTCTCTCCCACAAAACAGGAATGGAACTGTTGATCAGAAAGGGAGATTGGGAGCCCAAAGCCCCAATCACAGGCAGAGCCCAGAGCCAGGTGAGGCCGCCGGCTCCTCAGCACTTCCCAACAGGCCACCTGCTTTCTCAAGTCGGGGGCCCTAGCAGCGGAGAACAAAGCCAGCAGTGCCCAGGTCCCTTGCTGTGCGGGAGCCCGGGTCCTCCAAAGGTGAGAGTAAATCTGACGTACAGAGAGACGAGAGAAGGGGACGGTGCTCTGGTGGTGCCGTGGCCAGCCACCCCACTCTACTTCCCGGCAGTGGATACCTAAGCCCATGATTCTCCTAGGCTCAAACTAGTTCCAGTGGCTTTCTGTAACTGGAAACCTCCCTTCCCATTCTGCTCACATACTCCTTCAGCACACACTTATTGAGTTTTACCATGTATAGAGCCCTGTCCTTGGGGCATGCAATCCAGTGGAGCCACAGCAAGCATGGTGAATGCCACGAGAGAGAAGTGTGGCAAGCAAAGCTTCTCACCACTCTTAGGAGGCAGGAGAGACTTGGGTAGGAAATGCCATCTTAACTAAGGCCCAACTTCAGAAAGAACGAGAAGAGAGGTGCCCAGAGGAGCCACCATCAGCGGGAGACAAAAGCTACTTCAAATATATCATGTCTGAGTTGGAGCCATAGGGGATGCAAGAGGCACGTGTTTGGAACAGGGCAAGTGAGCATTTCAGATACAGGGAAGTTTAAACATAGAGCAGAAACATGAAACAGTGCGAAATTAACCAGCATCGGTGGTGCGTGAAAGGAAGAGGTAGGAGCCCGAAATCCTGAGCTGTAACTGGTGGTGGAACATGGATAGAAAAGATAGGACATCTGTGGTCAGGGCAACCAGTGTGATGCCCACAGCCACAGTCCAGGGAGCAAGACAGTGAACCAGCCCAGTGGCCGGGGCAACAGATATGAACACAGGGGAGCACAGTGAATGCGAAGGAATGTTAAGATTTAATGTTGTGATTAGCAGGAGTAGTGCAGAGGAGAAAGAGAAACTAATGATGATGATGATGATGATGATGACGGCGACGGCCACAACCAGCATCCCTTGGCCTCCGACTGGGCAGAGTATGTTATGTGCATTATCGCACGTAATCTTCATGACCGTATGCAGGAGTCCCATGATCCCTCCCATCATAGAGACCCCTGCACAGAGACAACCTGGGTGACAGCTAAGGAAAGCAAGGCCTCGGGGCAGAGGGGACTTTGGGAGGAGGAAGAGGTCCCTTTTGCATGTACTGGGCTTCCGTTGCCAGTTTGCCTGGTGCTGAGTTCCCAACTTCAGTTTCAATGTGTCCCTGCCAACCAGAAGTCGCCTCACCTGCCTTTTCGTAATGAGCACACCACAAGGTACAAAACCCCAGCTTTCTTCAGTCAGGATACATTATCCTGACTGCCCCCCCAGCCACCATGGCTGTCACTTGGCGACAAAAGGAAATTAGATTCACCTGATGAACTTTGTTTTTCACAAAGTGATGTGGGATGATTACCCAATACCCTGTGGTCTTCTAGGTGTTCGCAAATTGATTTTTTGATTATTTGTTCCAGTGATTTTCCACATAGTCAGTGTTTTTCCAAGTCACTCAGCTTTACAGTGTGGATGAGTTAAAACTCTCATTGGCCTTCTCTTTCCTGCGTTCATGTGAAATTTTACTTTTGCAATTATTCAGAATATTCTTGCTGGCAACAGTACGCATACACACACAGAGAGCGACATGACAATGAATACGATTGCGGTGGGGCATAAATAAGTCTTCTTGCAGAATTCCTCAGAGTTTATGACTGTATGCAAAGATGGAAAGGCACTGAGAACATATGTTAGCGCCAAGGCCCCCATAAAGTTTCTCACTTTCTAGACATATGTACAGGATGAATTGAAAGCAAAATGCAAACACAAAATTTCTACCGTGTTCATGTAGTTGTATTGTGAACCATGACCAAAAGCATAATCCAAAATAAAATTTTAACAGTGTTTCTTTTCCTTCCCTGGGGCCAGGATGTGGAAGGAGTGGTGACTGCCATACCATGTGGGAATTCAGCTTTTTGGTGGAAGCAATCAGCCAAGGTCCGACTGGGGTCTGAGGGTCGCTCAAGGGCCCATGTATTGCAATGCAATCCCCACTGTGAGGTTTCAACAGGACCAGGACGGAGACTCAACACGGCTGGTGCTGTTGCCAGGCAGTGGCTGGAACTAGACTGGGTCATCAGGGTGCAGTTCCGTGACAGAACACCAGGGGCTTGATAAGAGGAGGGAGAGAGACCAGAGGACACACACAGGCACACGCCAAGTCCCGTGCTGCCCTGGGGCTCTGCCGGCAAGAATGCCACTAGGTCCTTCGGATAGGGCCACCCCATCTTGGACTTTCGGCCTTGAAAACTGTGAGTGACGGAACTCCCTTCTCTCCGCGGCCTCAGATAGCTCATGAAGGGAATGCAAAACGGATTAAACTGAGTACACTGCCTGCAACCCAACACTAGGGAATCGGGAACAAAATCCCAGAAGCCAGGGGTAAAGTGAGGGGCACAAGGACATTTTCAGCTCAGATAGATCGGGGCTCTAAAGACTGATGGAGGCCGGCGCCGCGGCTCAGTAGGCTAATCCTCCACCTGCGGCGCCAGCACACCAGGTTCTAGTCCCGGTCGGGGTGCCGGATTCTGTCCCGGTTGCCCCTCTTCCAGGCCAGCTCTCTGCTGTGGCAGTGGAGGATGGCCCAAGTACTTGGGCCCTGCACCCCATGGGAGACCAGGAGAAGCACCTGGCTCCTGGCTTTGGATCGGTGCAGCGTGCTGGCCGTAGCGGCCATCTGGGGGGTGAACCAACGGAAAAAGGAAGACCTTTCTCTCTGACTCTCTCTGTCTCTCACTGTCTAACTCTGTCTGGAAAAAAATTTTTAAAAAAAGACTGATGGAAAGGATGATGAATGGAAATGGTGCAAAATGTTTTACAAACATGCAGGGCTGTAACTTTGCCGAGTACAGCTGAAGTAATCCAAGTTAAAACCTTTTCATTTTATGAAGTTAGAAGTATCTGATAGGCAGCTATCCCATATGGACGCCAGTTCAAGTCCCGGCTGCTCCACTACCGATCCAGCTCCTTGCTGTGCCTGGCAAAGCAGTAGAAGATGGTCCAAGCTCTTGGGCCCCTGCACCGGCATGGGAGACCTGGAAGAAGCTCCTGGCTCCTGGCTTCAGATCGGCTCAGCTCCGGCCTTTGTGGCCATTTGGGGAGTGAACCAGCGGATGGCAGATCTCTCTCTCTCTCTCTCTCTCTCTCTCTCTCTGCCTCTCACTGTCTGTAACTCTACCTCTCAAATAAATAAATAAAATCTTTAAAAAAAATAGAAGTATCTGCTTAGCTCTGAGTCCACTAAATATGACAGACATCTCGAGAAAGCATTTGTCCTATCTGTGAAGCCAAAAATCTATTTTCTGGAAGTATGGAAATTTTATGGAAATAAGTCATCAAAAGGATGAACAGGTTCGACCTGGAACTCACCGGCCGTCTGAAAGGAAGTGTTCACACAAGGCTGCCCTCCCTGCCCTTGTAGACCCGGAGACCTGAGGGCTCTATTGTCCCTGCTGCTTCCCTAAACTCTAGGGGGCTCCAAGTGTTCCCTTTATGAAACATTGCCCAGAATGAGTCATCCATTTCCCACAGGGCAAACTGATGATCTGCAGTGACACAGGGCTCATGGTATTATCTAATAATACAAGAAAAGGGTTCAGTGCACAGTAAGTGCTCAATAAATCCGACCTATTGTTACTGTTAGGACTTTCCCTCTCCATTCTGTCCTACCTGGCTCAGTAAACACTGAAGACCTGCTAATGGAGCGATTCTGCTCCTTCATTAGGAATTACGAATAAGCATCTATTTAGCTTACGTATTTTTATGAAGGATGACATTTGTTTCTGTGTCTCATAAAATCCCAAAGGATTTTTCTTTTTTCTTTCTTTCTTTTCTTTTTTTTTTCTTTCTTTTTTTTTTTTTTTTTTAGAGAACAGATCCCCAAGCAGGTCCTTTGGAGGCGAAGTCATCGCCACAGCCGTCTCCGTGTTGGGAAGGGATCAGAGGCCCCTCCCGGGAGCCCCGCGCCAGCGAGAACCCACGAGGCTCCCCGACGCCTGCAGAGAGCAAGGCCGCCAGTCTCGGCGGAGCACGCCCTTCCCGGGCTCACAGGGCAAGACCACCACGTCTGCACAGCACCAATGCTTGAAGTCGTTTCAAAAACAGAACGTGGACGGCAAATCAAGTCTTTCAATGGGTTTTGTCCCCGCCTTGTAACTGAATGTCAATCTATTTGTCAAGTTTTTGTGTGTTTTTTTTTTTTCACTTGGGTTTTTCCTCGCTTGGAAGCCCCCATCCATACCACTCTGGGTGGAGGGCTCTGACTCTAATAAATCTAATAAATCTCACTTTTAACTAAACACACACACACACACAGAATGTGAGCCGTGAGAAAAAGAGCGTCGGCGGCCGCCCCCTCCCCCTCCATCCTGGCAGTAACCTAATTTTCTTTTATCCCTCCTTTTCTCCCCTAAACAAGTGGTTTAGTGAGCCCCGCGTACTGCAAACTCCGTCAACCCTGCATTCAAGAGCGCCGCCCTGAATGTCGTTTCTGGAAATCTTGCGAGCCTCAAAGGAACGGTGTAGGCAACTTACAGGCCCCGCGACGCTCTAACTGAAACTGGGTCTTTTTTCTTTCTGCTCAGAAAAGCGCACTTTGGGGCCAGCTGCTCCACATTCACCGGGCAAGGGGAAACCACGGAGGCGGCCCCGGGGAACGCACAGCTCCACACGCCGCCCTGCTCCCTGATGTCGCGCTGGGGTAGCTCCTAGGGCAGGTTCTGATGCGCTTCGGCTTCATTCTTCCCCGCCTGCTCTGAGATGGGTTTTAAAGCTTTCATCTAATAAAACACCACACCCTATTCGGGGAGACTAGGTTTCTACTTTTCTAAAAGACTAGCGTTCCCACACCGGGAGTCGAACCCGGGCCGCCTGGGTGAAAACCAGGAATCCTAACCGCTAGACCATGTGGGAGACGACGGTGACAGACTCTGCTAGGCTCGACAAATTGAGCTGTTATCACTGGCTTCCGCCCGCTCTATCTCGCCAGCTCGCCAGCGTCAAACCTACTTGTGCGCCTGCGCCAACTCTGCGGCTGTTTAACCCTTTCCGACTTGCACAGAGGGAACTCGAATTTCTCTTGTCTGCAGTCGCGCTTTTTGTGGTCTCATGAGCCTCTTGGTCTTAGACGTCAGGCCGACAGCGATGTAGCCCCTACATTGTGTGAATCATTGTAATTCCTCACGAGAGCTTTTGCAAAATGCCAAAAGAATGGCGTTTGCATGTCGGAGCCTCTTTAGGCAGCATGGACCGCGGGAAGCCTCAGAACCGCCGTCCCTGGACCTGCGGGTGTCCCCCTGTGCGCCACGGATCCAGGCGGGCCGTGCCCTCTTTGCGGCGGTCAAGGCCGGCCCCAGGCATCGTCCCGTCTCCGGAAAGCTGATCTCTTCCTCTGAAGAAACAGAAACGGGAACGCGGGCCTCCTGGAAGCCTGGACAGAACATCCAGGTTCTGTTGACCTAACGGCTAGAGAGGCTGGATTTGGGCCGCTAAGAGCAGGCGGGGGTGGTTCCGAACGTGGCTTCTAAGCCGGGAGAAAGCCCCTTCCTGGAGGCCTTCCCGGTGCATGGAAATTCCTGTGGCTTCCAACCCCCTTGTGGACTGGAAGCTGCCCCTGGCCAGCCCAGCCAGCCGGGAGCGGCCCGGACGTTAGCCCAGGGCTGTGTGGGCGCCGGCAGCGGCTGAGGCGAGCGCTGGGGTCCTGGGGTCGTCGCTGGGGCTTCCTTCAGCCGCACGCAGGGGCTTTGCTGGCAGCGGACACGCGGGAGCCCGGGCGAGGGCTCGCTCTGGCCTGGCTCCCCACGTGCCCGGGGACCGAAGGAGGCCACAACGTGCGTTGTGAGGGTCACCGTCCGGAGGGGAGGAGCGAGGGAGGCCGCGGCGGGCACGACCCGACCTCGCGCAGGCGTGAGGCCTCCGGCCTGGCGGTGACCCTAGTCCAACGCCATGAAGATGGCGCGCGCTTGGAAGAGCCGGAAGCGTCGACTGCAGATCTGCTGGGTGTGTGAGACGCGTCCCGGCGTCTTGGCGCATTCAACTTCACAGTATTTTAGGTGGGTCTTCCTGTGCTGGCTCTGCACAGGGTTTCGCCTGTTTTGGTAGACACAGGGATCTCGCATCAGCTGGTTCACTCCCGACATGCGCCAACGCAGCTGGGTCCAGGAGGAAGCCAGGAGCTGGAATCATTCCAGATCGCCCACGTGGGTGGCAGGGACCCAAATCAGGGGCCTTCCACTTCAGCAGGACGCTGGAATTGGAAGCAGAAGCGAGGCAGGGCTCCGACCTAGGTACTCAGACATGAGGTGCAGATGTCCCAAGCCGCATCCCAGCTTCTGTGCCCAACACTTGCACCATTGGTATTTTAGGTGGTGAGCCAGCTGCCTTGCTTTCGAGGCTGTGTGCTAGCACACCAAAGAAAACGCTGCAAACAAAGCCCCTGAGCCCTCACCGGCCGTGGAAGACCGTGGCTCTACGGTTCTCAGTTGGGGACCCAGAGACTTTTATGTGTACTTCTCAATTTTGCATTTCCCATGTGATGATAACTGATTTTTTTTTGTTGTTTTTTGTTTTTTGACAGGCAGAGTGGACAGTGAGAAAGAGACAGAGAGAAAGGTCTTCCTTTGCCGTTGGTTCACCTCCAATGGCCGCCGCGCTGTGGCCGGCGCACCGCACTGATCCGAAGGCAGGATCCAGGTACTTCTCCTGGTCTCCCATGGGGTGCAGGGCCCAAGCACTTGGGCCATCCTCCACTGAACTCCTGGGCCACAGCAGAGAGCTGGCCTGGAAGAGGGACAACCGGGACAGAATATGGCGCCCCGACCGGGACTAGAACCCGGTGTGCCAGCGCCGCAAGGCGGAGGATTAGCCTAGTGAGCCGCGTCACTGGCCCATGTGATGATAACTGATTTAAAAAAAAAAAATCTCACTATGGTAAAAACTAAAATTTCTAAATGTAACCCATGTGTTGGACAGACCATCCTTAGCCTGTAACCAAAATGCAAGCTGATTTTGTCTCTCACTATCCCCAAAGTGAAATTTGATCCATTTTTTTCCCCCAGCCATCCAATGAAACCTTGAAAACCCTACTGGTCACTTTAAGTAATGAAGTACAGCCTAGGACAATACACTATTCAACAACTCAGTCTTCTAGATAGCCCATACCCCAGCTTGGGCATGATGTCAAGTTTCGGAGCAGAGGTTTGCTGGATCAGGTTCCTACCAGCTTGCAAGAGCTGATTGTGGGCTTCTCTTCCCAACTCTGTTCATGCAGATCACTTCCGCAGCTTGAGATGGCCACGCTGGTGTATTTACACCATGGAAATAGGCAAAGGCTAGACGGGGCTTTTTCTCACTGGAGAGCCGTGCACTAGTTAGATATTTATTATCAGGTAATCCACTTCTCACTCTTTTCTTTGCCTTCCTGCCTTAGAGGCTCCAGGGCCTTCCAGGTTAAAGTACAGGCAAGGAAAAGGAAAAGGCGACAGAAGTTCTTACTTGGCCAGTGCTGGCGGAAGCTGGCTTCCTGCTTTCTGGGCCCGCCCTTGTTGTAGGGCTTTTTCTCAGTGGTACCCAGTGGGTTCAACAGCAGTTTTTTTGCTGGGGTCCCTTGGACAGGACCTCCCAGCATTTGCCCAGGGCTCAGGAGAGTGGCCCTGTTTAACTGCAGATTCGCAGCCCCGTCTACTCAGTGCTTCCAAAGGAGACCTTCTGGGAGTGGGGCCTGGGAATATGAATTTTAGCAAGCATTTCTTCTCCATCCTCCTGAGTGATTCTGATGGCGCTCATGTTTGAGTTCCTGTCAATCTCTGTTCCCTGAAGCACTACTTCCACCATTTCCCTTTCCTGCTCAAAAACCTGAAAAAAAAAAAAATGGCTTCTGGTTGCCTGTTGAGTAAAATCTAAATTGCCTGTCTAAGCCTTCCTGGCTTTCCCTAGTCCAGCCCTGACATAGCTTGCTAATACTACCCTCCCAGGCCCATTACGGCAATGCCCCATTCCACATCACCCCACCTTCTCATCCCTTTACATCACCTCGCTCTTCTTTCTCTATGTCTGACCCAACTCTAAGGCCAGTCCATCCTGGTGAAGCTGCCTCTTGGTTCCTCCTGGATACAAGGCATTTCCTTTTCCTCTAAATCCCAAAGTGTGGGCCTTTAAAAAATAGTGATGGATGCTTATGCCTTGATACCCTTTTTATTTAAGGTACTTAACAGGAAGGTTCATGAATAAAAATCAGATTCCATAATCCCCCTGGGAACTCAGTCCTGCACTCAATCTTTCTGCTAAGTAGTCCTTCCTTTTATCTAACTTAAACACTTCCTGCTGTACTTCTATGTGAAAGCTGCCACCTTTCAACCGCCAGTGTGAACAAAATGTTCCTGGGAGGAAGAAAAAAAAAAAAAACATGAAGTTTTGAAGTGAAGCCAGACCAGTAAGTGAGCTGCATTTCTTTAGTTCTGCACACACACAGAAAAGCCTTCTTGTTGACACAAGGAACAGTTATTCCTGTTCCCATGCATCTAAAGCTTATTCTTGCTGGGCAGCTCTCCCACTTCATCCTCCATTTGATACTGGAAAAAGGCCCCAAACATATTGTACTTGCCAGGCATCTACATTAGCCGGAGTGATGTGGGGTGTGATTCACGGCCGTGTTTGCCAGTCATTTAGGAGTTAGGACGGTTTCCATTTCAGTGGGCCCAGGAGTCATCCTTTAAAAGGGCATTAAAGTAATTGCCAATTAAGTTCCACTCTCCCAAGGAGAGCCCTGGGCAGCACTGACCCAGCCTGGGGCACACAGTTAACCTCGAAGCTCTTTTGGGTAACAACACCTGCCCCTGCTGACCATGCAGGGTGAGTTAATCTTCACGGCCTAAATGGAGGCTCAGTTTCTAAAATTAGGTTGGCTTTCAGGAGGCCACTGGGATGGCAGCTTCCTCAAGGGCTTGTTTAGATCATATAACTCTGACCCTCACCCCTCTCCCAAATGTAGCAACCCCTACTTGTCCGATGACTCAGGGCAAACATCCTTGAACTCCCAGCACTGGGTCGGTGCTCGCTCTGTGGGCCTGCCCCACTGATCCTTGCCTGGATATATTTTCCTGCTTCCCTCTTCCTGGTAGACTGTAAACTTGTGATGGCAGAATCTGGATCCTACTCTGTGGCATGCCTACCTTCTAGCACAGTGCTTGGCACATATAATTATCTAGTGCATGAATCAATGCCTTAAAATATTTTTTCTTCTTTGGGGATCCTTCTGTAGGTCACTTTCCCCCCTGAATCAGCAAATAACAAGACAGAACTATTTCTCAGCTGAGTAAAACTATCTCCACAGCATGTATCTTTCTTCACACATGGTCAGCACTCACACTAAGTTTGAGTGATCTGTTGATTCCTTCAATACTGAATTGTTCGCTTGATCAATGTCATGGGGGAAAAAAAAATCATGGGAATAGTTTGGTTTCCACTTAGCACCTAAGCAGCAATGGAGAGTCTGAGTCTTGATTTCAGTATTTGAGAAACTGCAATGTAGAACAAGAAATGCCATCACAGCCTCCTAATACCCCTCCCATACTGTCTTTTCGCCCCCATTCTTTGCCTTCATCTGGTCTGACAGCACAAGATGGGCAGAGCTCTGCCAGACCACCATCGTACCCTCTCCTACCTGGTATTGTCCAGGCCTCTGACCTGGGGTCACTTGTGCTTTTCTCATTTTTCCTGAGAGCTATACTCAGGAATGGTGAGGCGAGGTGTTCCACGGGCCTGGCATCTTGAAAACTTGCCCAGCAATGTAGTTTTTTGTTCCATGTTGTAGTTGCTTAAAGATTGAAATTATGGCCCTCAGCGATCCTCAGTTAATTCACTTAGCCCCTTGGAGGCTAAGCAGAAACCAACTTGGCTCTTACATGGGAGGTTGAATTATTTTTGATTCATTTCTGGAGTTCCCACCAGTAGTCCTGAGTTGAGCAAACTTTCTAAACTCATTTCTTCTTTCCCTGTGACAGTCTGTCTCAACTATCATCAGTAGCTCCGTAGGCAGGAATTGTGTCAAGTTCATTGCTCATCATGGCACCCAGTATGACAATACTTGATATAAAAATAATACTTTTCATATATAATATTCACTGTGTGCTAGGTGATTCTAGACACATTAAAATATTGATGGTTATCAAAATGACTCAATGAGAGAGGACCTAATATTATTCCTATTTTGTAGATTAGAAAACTGAAATGCAAGTAGGTTAATTAACTTGTTCAAAGTCTGACAACTTATCAATAAAAGAAGTAGAATTCAAATCCAGGTATTTTGCCTCTGGAAAATATTTATCATCATATATGTTAATAATTATAATAATAATTTATCATCAGATATATTAATAAGTCTGCTTGCACTATTATGAGCATATTACATAAAATAGGGCAGTGATATTGAAAATGATAATGCCTTCAGCAATAATGATTGCATACATTTTGAAGTCTGATGGCATGTTCAAAGGAGAGTGAGGAAGATTGCTATGGGTTCTTCTTACACCAACAAGAATAAATATCTCAGGATCTAGCACTCTATAGAGGCTGACATTGGCACAGTGTTTGCCCCTGGTCCTTCTTCCTCATCAACTATTTTCTTTGGTTTTTCTTAATACCTATTTATTTATTTATTTGAGAGGTCAACTTACAGACAGAGAGATGGATGGAGAGACAGAGAGAGAGGTCTTCACTCCCCAAATGGCCACAACAGCCAAAGTTGGGCCAGTCCAAAGCCAGGAGCCAGAAACTTTTTCCAGGTCTTCCACGTGGGTACAGAGGCCCAAGCACTTGGGCCATCCTCTACCGCTTTCCCAGGCCACAACAGAAAGCTGGATCCAAAGTGGAGCAGCTGAGACTTGAACTGGTGCCCCATTATGCCACAATGCCAGCCTAGCCCCAGACCTTTAAGCCACTGTGATTTGGGAAGGGGGCCCTCACTAGAACATGCTGTTCATGTCTAAGCAGATGATAGTTCCCTACCACTAGAGATTGCTAAACCAGAGCATCTTTGGAGTCACTTTCAGGATAATCATTTGATAGAATGGACTGGAATGTACTACTGAGCACAGGGTAAGTCACTACTGATTAATGGTCCCAGAGGAGCCAAATATCCCCCTTAGCAATCCTTTAAAATTAAAATATTCTTCAGAACATCAGAATAGCACTCTCTCCCATTGCATGTCCTACTGGAGCATGGGTTCTTCTTGCTCTACCAACGAGGAAACAGCCAACAGCGTTTCCTAGTGACCCTCAAAAAGCAGACACTCATCTGTACTGCTGTTAATCTACGTTTTCCTACTGTTTCCCTATTTAGTGCCACTGTGTCTCTGCAGATCCAGATTTTGTTAAATTACAAGATTCAATCAACCTTTTTTCTCATTGACATCAATACAAATTCTGTTATTCAAGTCTTGCTCTGGCCAGTAACTAAACTTGTCACTATAAAGTGAGTACATTTTCCGGATATTGCCATTTAGATTTAGAGGGCATCATATTTGCACCTGTTATAGGAATATGACAAAGAGGAGGCAGATCACAAACTCAACAGCCAAAACAGGGTTATTTGGAGACAAATCTGAGAGGGACTCACTACCAGCGAGGGTAGAGTGCTGTTCTTTATACAAAGTTACTTCCTCTTATTGGCCGGTTCTGGGTGGGTTGGCCCTGGT